AGAGTGCAGATCCCAGCGCCCACATAACAAGACAGGTGTTACACACACACACACACACACACACACACACACACACACACACACCTATAACCACTTCTGTCGCTTCCCCATCTCTGACTCTGGCCTCCTGTGCTTTTTGCTACAGGCTCCCTGCTGGGCACGAAGGCTCCACTATGGGGCTAGCCTGGGGACTAAGTGTCCTGTTCCTGTTGCGTGTGTGTGGCAGCAGCCGCATTCCAGGTGAGTCTGTGATCTCCGTGCGGGGTGGAAGTGCAAGCTAGCTCAGGTGTGCCCCCTCCTGTGTTCTCCCCAAGCTGTCTTTCCTGAGCCCTGAGAGTCACGGGTGCTTACCCAGCTCCTTGGGTGGTTACCAGGTCTCACCCTGCCCCTCAGAGCCAGGCTGTCCATTCCTAAAAAGCCGACTGTCTTCTGCCTAACAGAGTCTGGGGGAGACAACAGCGTGTTCGATATCTTTGAACTCACCGGAGCTGCCCGCAGGGGCTCTGGCCGCCGACTAGTGAAGGGCATGGACCTGTCCAGCCCAGCTTTCCGAATTGAAAATGCCAGTCTGATCCCCCCTGTGCCTGATGACAAGTTCCAAGACCTAGTGGATGCTGTGCGGGCAGAAAAGGGCTTCATCTTCCTGGCCTCTCTGAGGCAGATGAAGAAGACCCGGGGCACTCTGTTATCTGTGGAGCGAAAAGATCATTCTGGTCATGTCTTCAGTGTGGTCTCCAACGGCAAAGCCGGCACCCTGGACCTGAGCCTGAGCTTGCCCAGAAAGCAACAAGTGGTGTCAGTGGAGGAAGCTCTCCTAGCCACTGGCCAGTGGAAGAGCATCACTCTATTCGTGCAAGAAGACAGGGCCCAGCTCTACATCGACTGTGAGAAGATGGAGAGTGCTGAGCTGGACGTCCCCATCCAGGATATCTTCACAAGGGACCTGGCCAGTGTTGCCAGACTCCGCATTGCAAAGGGAGACACCAATGACAATTTTCAGGTAAGTCTTACTGTCACAAGGACTGCATTGGAGGTGATGTCTGTAGACCAAAGTTAACAGATCTCAGACTTAGGGAGCAGCAGATTACCCTGGAGAGCTGGTTAAATCCTATACCTGTATCACTGCCCCCACCACACCCCAGGGTCAGGTGAGGGGCCTGAGAATTGTCATTTCTAGCAAGAAGCAGATGGTGGTGATGCTGGGGGCCTGGAAACCATACTTTCAAAACTGCTCAGAGAAACAAGTAATGATTTTCCTGTAACAAAGCCTATTTAAGTACTCCTTGTGTTCTTAGGAAAGTAAGTTGTATCAAATGCATCCTCCAATTTTAAGATGTCTTGAAAAGGGTACTTTGTCAGTATCTGATTCCTTAGGCAAGCATACTTCCAGTCTGGAATTAAAGATTGAAATAATGATCATTTGCCCTTGGGACTTCTTCCTTGCCATCTAAATTTTTACAAGCATGGCTTTGAACGCCCACATTACCTCTTTGACATTGGAGAGTATTGGGTCCTCTGGACTTAGGATCAGATTCCATTTCCTGTGTACCCCAAGCAGCCTGATAACTTGATTCTTTGTAAAATACTCAAGTTGGCAGAAGACACAACTAGGATTTTGAAGTTGTTTAGCAGTTTATGTGTGTTATTTTGACATAGTGATTTCAAAACAGCTCTTCTAAATTTTCCGAGCATTTTTCATGGGCTTTTCCTAACATCAAGAGACAGTCTGCCCCACCCCCCACTCTCAGCATTACAAGTAATGTGTCCTCTGCCCACAGGGGGTGCTGCAGAATGTGAGATTTGTCTTTGGAACCACACCAGAAGACATCCTTAGGAACAAAGGCTGCTCCAACTGTGAGTACCCCTGTTTTTAAGACATGGAGAATTCTGGAGAATTCCACCAAAACCACCCTGAGAAATTTAACCAAATAGTGTTTGTACATAACTTATCCTGGGAACCATAAAGGTATACAAAAGTGACCTCAAGGGGTATTTCACACATGTATGTCTCCTCTATTTACAACCCTCATACCAACTGAAATGTCTTTTGCAGTCGAGAACTCAAGGGGCTGCCTGGCAGCTCATGTGCTGAAGCCCTTCTATTACCTTTTGTTTCTTAGCAGCTGCCAATGTCATTCTCACCCTTGACAACAATGTGGTGAATGGTTCCAGCCCCGCCATCCGCACCAACTACATTGGCCACAAGACCAAGGACCTGCAGGCCACCTGTGGCATCTCCTGTGATGAGCTGTCCAGCATGGTCCTAGAACTCAGGGGCCTGCACGCCATCGTGACCACACTGCAGGACAGCATCCGCAAAGTGGTCAGTGCCCTCTGCACCCACTTGCTAGCCCTTGCATGTCACCACAGGTTGTTCCTGTGGGCGGTTGGACACTAATGAGCATTTGCCCCTTTAGACGGAAGAGAACAGAGAGTTGGCCAGTGAATTGAGGCGGCCTCCCGTCTGCTTTCACAACGGGATTCAGTACAGGAACAATGAGGAATGGACTGTGGATAGCTGCACTGAGTGTCACTGCCAGGTAAGGGACCCTGACAAACTATAATGAGAACTGATAGCATGTATTTGAAGCCATATTTCTCAGGAAATACTCAAATGACCACACACATTCTTTATATGTGCCCTGGCCTGCTACCAAAGTGGGTTTCTTTTTCTTTAGCATGGATTTATGACATCTACAAATTCCTCTCTAAGCTCTCAGAAGGTTTATAAAATTCTTAATTATACCCCAGGCTAAATATCTAAGAGAACAAATCTGCTTAAGCATCTGAATAATTTACCTGCTTTAGTTCAAAGACCAAGTGTTGAATGTCAGGTACATAAAACCTGCTTAGAGCACCTTTTTTTTGCCAGCCCTGATTTGTATTCAGCTTGGGCAGGGAGGTTCTTCTAATACTGCATTGATTGTTGGCCAGATTGCCCAGTCCACATGGTTAGGATGTTGCTATCTACTTACCTCCCATGGCACTGCCTGCTGGTGTGTTTCTCCCACACCAGTGACATTTGGAGTTCAAGGCTTACATGGCTCACCTGGAAAAGCAAAGCTTAAATACAAACATTGGCTACCTTTTTTTTTTTTGAGCATCAACTTCAGTAAATTCCCATCTTTTCCAATGAGTGACAAAGTCTTATTTACAGACTGACTCATGGTTGCGTTTTATAAGTTCAGTTTCAAATATAGATTTAACCCACAATGTTTCTTGGTTTCTCTTAAATAAATTTGTTGTTTTATAACTATCTCACCTGAGTGCCAATTAAAAAGAACTCTTTAAAGAATGGAGGGACAAGTAACTAACCCTAGAACTATATGAAATCAGGGATTGAAGAAACAATAGAGACACTCTTTTGTAAAAACCATTGCCTTAGAACACTTAACAGCCCTGATTCTGTCTTGGCTTAGAGAGGAAATATCACAGAAAGCTTCTCTTTGTACTATGCTTGGTAACGTTTCCCTCTCATTCTCTTGCCTTGCAGAACTCAGTTACCATCTGCAAAAAGGTGTCCTGTCCCATCATGCCCTGTTCCAATGCCACAGTTCCTGATGGAGAATGCTGTCCACGGTGTTGGCGTAAGTTCCTAAAATGACATAACCATTCTTCAGTGGCTAGCTCAGTTTTGGTGTGACTTGATAGCTGGGTACAGCACTGGAGCCCAGCCCCACCCCAGCTCCATCAGACAGTTCCAGTCAGATTCTTGCTGCTGCACCTGGGTAACCAACAGCTAGCCTGATGTACAGAGCCCAAAACTCCATGGTGACTACCCATCTGGATTATAGCATAGACAATATTGATCTTGGTACAGCTTATGGATTCTGATATTATGCTGTGAGGAAAGGAGATGAATATGTAGCAACAATAGGTTTAAGTTGATTGACTTTAGAATTTGACTTTTCTGGTAGAAAAATCTACCGACAACAGAACTGATAGAAATCAGTGTAAGCAGTGTACATTTTACAAAGGCTTGGAAATCCCACCTGTTTTATCTGCAGTGATGGGAAGCCTAAGAAACTAACATCAGTTAGAGTTTCCAGGTAGAAAAAGAAATTGGGCACTATATGGTTCTCTCTCTCTCTCTCTCTCTCTCTCTCTCTCTCTCTCAGGTTTGTTGCCAGTATAATCGCTTTGTTGAAGTGATATATTTAATGTAGTAGGCACAAGTCATTAAAAGTGATTCATTATGACTAAGATAAGGAAGAAATCAGGAAAGGAGCATTACACACACACACACACACACACACACACACACACACACACACACACACTGGTCATGGCTCAGAATAATCAATCCCATGGTAGCAATATTGGCACCATAATATTTTTTCTGTGTGTCTGTTTCTGGCCAACATTCATCTGAGGTGTGAGTTACAGGGAACAAAGCTGGCTGAGGGGTAGCAGAGTTCTGAACTTGAACTAGGGATTGCTAGGAAAACTTCCAACTGATGGCCAAACAAAACAAGTTTTCTGTCTTCTGATAGACACATGATTGTAGTCATGGAGCCTGAGCAGATAATAAACAAACACATTCTCCTCTTGTGAAAAATGTGTGCAGAGAAGGCACTAAATGCCAGGGTGAGAGGAACAACAAATTGACTAACCTCATGGCGGGGTGAGAGCCAGAGCCAACAGCAGCAAAGCTGCCTTCGAACACGTGAACTGGGACTTCCTTGACCATTAGAAATGATTCCAACCAGCTGTCTAAAATGCCTGCCAAGATATCTTAAGTTAGTAAATGGCAATTTGTTTGAAATGCTTAGAGGAGAAAAGCTAGTGAGTTGAACAGGAGAGCGTAGGCTGTGAGAAGACCCAGCAGTACTGACCGGAAAAAGCATTTGTTACCCCAGGGCTGTCCACATGACGACCTTGAATGAACCCCAGTGCTGGCCCAAGAGGAGCACTGCTTTTCCCCCTGTATAACTGAAACCTTGTGCCCTTTGACCTTAGGCCAAGGAGATGTCTTGTGGGTCACACTGTTGTGTTCATGGGTAATAATACTCAACTGCATACTTGGAGAGTCTTAATCACTACAAAGACAGGTTAACTGTTAGATGATGGACAGGTTAATTAGCTCTACCACTGTAATTACTTCACAACCTACATGTGTATCTAAGCATAAGCATCTGGTGAATACACCAATGCAAACGATTTCTATTTCTTAATTATAGCACCATAAAGCTAAGAGTAAAAAAAATATGTAAGAAAAAGGAGAAACACATTGCTTTGTACCCTCTGACGAATGAAAAGCCTGAACAAGCCCTCTGAGTAGCAGCTCATCTTAGTCACCAGATGCTAAACAACCTGTTTCTCCACAGCCAGCGACTCTGCGGACGATGGCTGGTCTCCCTGGTCTGAGTGGACCTCCTGCTCTGCGACATGTGGCAATGGGATTCAGCAGCGTGGCCGCTCCTGTGACAGCCTCAACAACCGATGCGAGGGCTCCTCCGTCCAGACCCGGACCTGCCACATTCAGGAGTGTGACAAGAGATGTAAGCATCTAGGCCACTAAGGGGTGGAAGTCTAACCTGTCATCATTGTCACCACCAAGAGACTCTCCATAGCAGGGAGCCTGAGGGCACACGTTCTAGAATCTGGATCTGAGTCTCAGTTGCACCCCTGACCTCTGGAGCCTTGGACAGGATCTTCCCTCCCTGAGACTCTCTTGGGAAATACAACAGCCGTTCTTAAAAAACTTCTTTTAGGCATTTTATTTAGCTAATGTATATAAAACAGTTAAAATAGAGCTTGGCACCCTTTAAATGTTGGGCTGTTAAAATAACCCACAAAGACAGCTGAGTATCATCTCCCCTATGGTAGAAAAGATTCTACTTTGACATTCAGACATGTGGCAAGAGCCAGTTTCTATCTCACACTGGATTTAGCTGCCACTGACCATGCATTAGAAATATTTCTACGTCCTCCCATGGAGACTCGGCCACCTCCAAATCAGAATCACTTATGTGTGACCATCATCTTTCTGCTTTAGTTAAACAGGATGGTGGCTGGAGTCACTGGTCCCCGTGGTCATCTTGTTCTGTGACATGTGGTGATGGTGTGATCACAAGGATTCGGCTCTGCAACTCTCCCAGCCCCCAGATGAATGGAAAGCCATGTGAAGGCAAAGCTCGGGAGACAAAACCCTGCAGGAAAGATGCCTGCCCGAGTAAGTGTGAGCCTTGCCAAGGGCTGTGTGGGAGGAAGCTCTGCCCAGCTGGTCACCTGGTGTCTGCAGCCTACAGTTTAGTGGGTCATGGAGCAGGGGAGCTCACTCAGTAAAAAAAACAAACAGTAACAGAGTCCTGCGTGCTCAGCAGCTCCTTTTAATGAAAAACAGTGGGGCGGGGGTGGGGGGCGGGTACGTTTCAAACTCACCCAATTCCCAAACATTCTTCTTAGGGCCAGGATAGAAGATATTTTCAACAGGCTTAGGACAGTCGTCTATGACAGCTAGGGCATTTGAAAATTGATGGGAATTTTTGCATTTCCTTACAGTCAATGGAGCCTGGGGTCCTTGGTCACCATGGGACATCTGTTCCGTCACCTGTGGAGGAGGAGTGCAGAAACGAAACCGGCTCTGTAACAACCCCGCACCCCAGTTTGGAGGCAAAGACTGCATTGGTGATGAGACAGAAAAACAAGTGTGCAACAAGCAGGACTGTCCAATTGGTGAGCCATGGAGCCAGGGACAAAATCACTCCAGGAGCTTTCTGCTTTATCAGTGCTATAGTCAACATTTGGGAGGTCCTGATGGTCTGATTATTGTAAGATGCAGGTGGACCATTTTTGGTACCAGAGACCCTACAATTCTGTATCATTTTTAAGTAGCACATGGCATAATAGCCCATTAGACCACCACTTAGCTGTCTCTCACTTCGTTTCAGACGGATGCCTGTCCAATCCCTGCTTTGCGGGTGCCAAGTGTACTAGCTATCCTGATGGCAGCTGGAAATGTGGTGCCTGTCCCCCTGGCTACAGTGGAAATGGCATCCAATGCAAAGACATTGATGAGGTGAGCAACCAACAGCTCTGAGAGACCAGACCTAGGAAAGCAACTAACCTGTCCCAGCCTCTTCCTTAAGGCAGCACTTGCCAAGCATTAAGCAAACTGTTGATTCCTCCACAGTGCAAACTAGTTCCTGATGCCTGCTTCAACCACAATGGAGAGCACCGGTGTGAGAACACAGACCCTGGCTACAACTGTCTGCCCTGCCCACCACGCTTCACTGGCACCCAGCCCTTTGGCCGAGGCGTCGAACATGCCATGGCCAACAAACAGGTACAGTAGATGGGCAGACCAAAGTAGAAGAGGGCTGCACTGGACCAAAGAACTGGAAAACAGAAAGGCAGTGAATGCACAGTCTGGTTATAGCTGCATGACCGAGTAGTCAACATACTAAAAAATGCTGGTCTGAAAAGAAGCTGTTATCAGATGGGCTTGCATGGACCACATCATATATACCAAGCAGTTCAAGAAAACCCAATGTAAAGTAGCCTTCGCCAATATCCTGAATAGCCTCAGAGAGAATGGGGAGGGACAGAGGAAACCCATCATCTTCCAAATGGTACCTCTGTCTGCTTGGAGATGAGAGGGATCAGGACTCTTCCTGTTTTCATGGTGTCTTGGGATGCTCAAATGCTCTGGGTTAAAATTGGGATATTGTACCCTTAGGTCTGCAAGCCCCGTAACCCCTGCACAGATGAGACACATGATTGCAACAAGAACGCCAAGTGCAACTACCTGGGCCACTACAGCGACCCCATGTACCGCTGTGAGTGCAAGCCCGGCTATGCAGGCAATGGCATCATCTGTGGGGAGGACACAGACCTCGACGGCTGGCCTAATGAGAACCTTGTGTGTGTGGCCAATGCAACTTACCACTGCAAAAAGGTACAACCAGCTTCCCTGAGGGGCTTCCCTTTCAGAAACATGCCAAGGAATTTTTAAATGTTGAAAGACTGAAAATGAAACTGAAAGATTAAACCTCCCAAAGGCAGAAGGATATTAATTTTCATTATTATGGAGTCATTTGGTGCCAAGAACACAAACGGAACAGGCTCTTCTGGCGACTGTGTTCCAGAGTCAATTCTTTTGTCCTAAAAACTTGCTTTATCAAGAACCTCTTAAATATGACTTGTGTTCACAGCAGCTACAAAGCCTAGAGCATTTATGGTAATTTCCATATGTGTAGCTTCCCAAAAAATATCTCATGGCTTCTCCTTCTCATAAAAACTGTTACAGGAGCAGCAGCTGGAACATTCTGTTCAGAGTGCTCCAGTGAGCCTCTCATGTATGTGCTGAGCAATTAATACTAACTAATGTGTTTGCTTTTCTCCCAGGACAATTGCCCCAACCTTCCCAACTCAGGGCAGGAAGACTATGACAAGGATGGAATCGGTGATGCCTGTGATGATGACGATGACAATGACAAAATCCCAGATGATAGGGTAAGAACAAGTGTTCTTCATTCCTCCTTCATCCTCATGTACAATGAGAGGCTGAAACACTGGGATTCAAGGGCATCACGAGGTGATAGCAAAAATGATGCCAAATTGATTATAGAGGATAATTAGAGATTATTCAACATGTCTCAGTAGTTTGAAGACACAATCTTGTCATCACAGCTTCCCCCCATTTGAGACATTATAATGTATACACAAAGGACCTTCTGAGATTCATTTCAGATATCCCATCTAAATGGCAGAATGCTTGGAGTATTCTGAGAGTTAATATGAGGTTACCTTCTGTATCTCCCCTATCTATAACCAAAGATAATCCAATTTTCATCTATTACATTCTCCTGTTTTATAATTTCACATACACTGAATACTGAATTTGTATATCAACCAAGTACAAAACAGCCACTGCAGATCTCCAAGGGTTTATCCATATTATGCATGTGGCTTCAGGTTTTAGCTAGTTTCTCCTCTTCGCAGGACAACTGCCCATTCCATTACAACCCAGCCCAGTATGACTATGACAGAGATGATGTGGGAGACCGCTGTGACAACTGCCCCTACAACCACAACCCCGACCAGGCAGACACAGACAGCAACGGGGAAGGAGATGCCTGTGCCGTGGACATCGATGGAGATGGTAAGGGGATCCCTGGCTCTGCAGGACAGAAACATGCATGGCTTCAGCTTACGTAGTGATTGTTGATGTGTGATTTAGCTGGAATAGCCATGGCTGCAGAGCTCAGTTCCTGTCTGTCCCCTGCTCTCCATAGGAATCCTCAATGAACGAGACAACTGCCAGTATGTCTACAATGTAGACCAGAGGGACACTGACATGGATGGGGTTGGAGATCAATGTGACAACTGTCCCCTGGAACACAATCCAGACCAGGTAGGTGGGCTCCTTTCAGGATCTCTCAATAAGGTGCTGCAGACTCCCTTTCTGAGCCTAAGACAATGAGTTTGCTAAACTTTGAACCCTCCCATTACCAAGGCTCTCAGTTTTCCCAGAGCCAGCAGTAGTATGTACCTGTGAATAGTTTGCCTGGAATGGGCTCTTTGCAAATAGTCTTGGAGATCTTCAGTGTGAAGATCTTCAGTCTTGATTTGCTACCATGGTTAAGATAACTCACATAGAACAAAGAGCTGAGACTGACAGCTCTACAGTAGTATCACTCATATGGAAAACTGAGAAGGGTGGGATCAAGAAGCAAAGTAAACAACTTTAGTGGGTAGGAACATTATCTGTTAAGAAATCAGAAAACTAAAATGCTTCTAAAATCTGGAGAAAGCATTTTTTCTTTCTTCTAAGGGACTTAACGGCGCACAGGCATCTTCCCTGGCCCATGCAGAGAGAGCTGAAAAAGGGCGTTAACACAGGTTTCCTCTTAGAGTATTTCTTGTCTATGTCGTCCATCCTTATTTTCTAGGGATAAAAGTTGTTTTGTTTTGTTTTTCTAAAATGATTGCGCTGAATGTGTAGAAATCAGCTCTTTAAATGGAAATATTTTCTAAAGATTAGAGAAATGAGAATTCCAGTTTCTCTCTCCTAATATTTTTTTATGAAGTTGTGTCAGCCTAAAAGCAACAGAGAAGTGGCTTGAAACCATCATGGGAAGCCCAGTGGCCTGGGTTAGCTTTGCTGATCAGATGGCATTGAAGATCATCTGCTTTGAGTTTGGGCCTACCAGACACTAAACTTCTTTAATACCATTAAACCTCACTAGATGAGTTTTTGGTTCCTCGGATTATAATAAATTTTATAACCAAATTCAAACATCATATAAAAATTGTAAAAGCAAAGAACATAAATACTGGCAAGAAAAAATCCAGTTTTTCTATGAACAGTTCTAAGTATCTTGTACATATTAAATGCTTAAGTACTCTGAGAAAATTTGTTTGGAAAAAAATTTAGAGTTTGACTTTATCTGAGCCAAAGATGAAAAGCCTTATGGAGTAGATGTAGAGAGCCAAATGCCTTAAAAATAAAAATTGATTTCTCATACATGTTACCCAGACTAGGTATGCACAGAAAAGTAGTGCCACACTGCCATGATTATGTCCTAGAGTAGAAGTTGACATGGCAACAAGTTTGCAGTTAACTTCAATAGGAAATTATAACATACACCTTAGGGGATGATTTCAGTTAACATTAAGATATAAAGAGTTACCACTGCATTCCCTTGAGTCATTTAAAAATAACTCCTTCTATGTTAGTTAGAAAGACATATTTTTAAAAAAAAAAAAAATCTTAAAGATCTCCTCTCAATTTTCATGTAGAAATAAGGAACAGGGTAATAACCTTTTTGAAACCTAAGGCTGATATGAATACCTTTCTTCAGTAGTGGAGAAAACAGGAAGCCCACTGGCCATATCCAACAGGGAGAATTTATCCTGCTCTGGGGACACTGATGTTATCTTCTCTGATTTACCAACTCTGTTGATGCCTCTCTTCCAGCTGGACTCTGACTCGGACCTCATAGGGGATACCTGTGACAACAATCAGGACATTGATGAGGATGGTCATCAGAACAATCTGGACAACTGTCCCTATGTGCCAAATGCCAACCAAGCTGACCATGATAAAGATGGCAAAGGAGACGCCTGTGACCATGATGATGACAATGATGGCATTCCTGATGACAAGGACAATTGCAGGCTGGTGCCCAATCCTGACCAGAAGGACTCTGATGGTGAGTAATTGTGACCACTTCCTAATAACACAACTGGAGGTAAAAAAATAAAGCATCTGAGAGGATGACATAACAAAATACCCATTTTTGACAAGATAGGGAAGTTGGGACCCAGTTATAATAGTGTTTCAGAATTCCACTTAACTCTTGCCTTTTTGACCTTAGGTGATGGCCGAGGAGACGCCTGCAAAGATGACTTTGACCATGACAATGTGCCAGACATCGATGACATCTGTCCTGAGAATGTTGACATCAGTGAGACCGATTTCCGCCGATTCCAGATGATTCCTCTAGATCCCAAAGGGACATCCCAAAATGATCCTAACTGGGTTGTACGACATCAGGGCAAAGAACTTGTCCAGACAGTCAACTGTGATCCTGGACTTGCTGTAGGTAAGTAATGAGCTCTTAATCAAGAGATGAATACATGGGAGAGAGGCAAACATGTAATCTGGCAGTTGAACCTGTGACCTGTGGCCATTCAGAACATCTGGGAACGTAACATAACCCTCTACAGGTGCAGCCTGTAATCTATCTCTGTCCTTGCCTTGCAGGGTATGATGAGTTCAATGCTGTGGACTTCAGTGGCACCTTCTTCATCAACACTGAGAGAGATGATGACTATGCTGGCTTTGTGTTTGGCTACCAGTCCAGCAGCCGATTCTACGTAGTTATGTGGAAACAAATCACCCAATCCTACTGGGACACCAAGCCCACAAAGGCTCAGGGATACTCAGGCCTGTCTGTGAAGGTTGTGAACTCCACCACAGGGCCTGGTGAGCACCTGCGGAATGCTCTGTGGCACACAGGAAATACCCCTGGCCAGGTAAGAAGCCACGCCCTCTAGAAGGGAGAGTTGATGGGTACCTGAAGAACATTGAGGACACAGTGCTCTGGCCAGGTTTCCAGTGGGGAGCCATAGCTGTCAAGTTCTCATCATTACCAACTCTAGCATTAAGCTCAGTTTTACAAAATAACAGTATGCTAGAATGGAGTGTGCTCTAAGCAAGAGTTGGCCTTTAAATCTATAGGCAACTCCAGCCTTTTCAAACAAAAACATCCTTTTCTTTTTCTCTTGTTGCTTTATATTCATTGACTGGCACACAGCTAATGAGAGCATCCTTGGGGAAAGTCTACACTGGCCCCTTTCCAAATCTAGACCAATCAGCACCGTTCAAACAGTTTCCTCAGAAGGAACCGTGTCTTATCCTTTTTTGTCCTTTTCCTTCAGGTGACCACCCTGTGGCATGACCCCCGTCACATAGGCTGGAAAGATTTCACTGCCTACAGGTGGCGTCTCAGCCATAGGCCAAAGACTGGTTTCATCAGGTAAGACTGCAATGATTACATTTCACTTGTAGTCACATCAATAGGCACAAAGGACAATGCAAAAAGTAGCAATGTCACCAATGATTTTCTTTTTTACCCTGCAGAGTGGTGATGTATGAAGGGAAGAAAATCATGGCTGACTCAGGACCCATCTATGACAAGACCTATGCTGGTGGTAGGCTAGGCCTGTTTGTCTTCTCTCAAGAAATGGTATTCTTCTCTGACCTGAAATACGAATGTCGAGGTAAGAGCAGCATGGCAATGACTGTATAGTTAACAGAGCAGATCAATAAGGATGACAGTCAAGACACAGTCTGATTTAGAGACTGTAGGAGGGAGAGGCTTAGTTATTTCTATTTTGCTTTTGAGGATACAAAGCTGAATAATGCCTATGAATTCCTGAGTCTTTATCAGCAATATTAATTTGTCCAGCAGTCTCTACATGTATCCATACACAGGGCAGAAACAGTAGCCAAGTGGCTACACGGGTCTTTTGTATGTATTATATATCTTGCATTCTACTTATGAGTTAATTTTTATCATCAGAGCACAAGTTGTGTTTCCTAACTTTTGCCTGTGTATGGAGAGCTGGAAAGAGTATTCATTTTCACTAATAACCTTAGCTTTTTTTAACCTCCATTTTCTGAACTGCATGATTTTTTTAAGCTCCATCTGAATCCAGCATTTGACATTTCACAAAATATGTGCTTAACAAATATTTACCAAGCCAACACCTAATGCCTGTAATCAAAGGCATTGTTCATTAAAACTAAAAACATCAAGAATAAAGAAAGATGATTGGTATTACTAAAAAATTAGCTTATTTTTCAGTCTGAATTTTTAAAGTGAAACTTGGTAAACTTTCAACATTGAAGATTTTAGAAAGTATAACACAAACGGTGGGAAGTTGTATGGTATCAGTCTCCTGCCATCAGTATCAGCTAAGAAAAGGATGGATTAAATGTGTTTGAATAATCTTAAATTATGATTCTATCACTGTCCCAGTAAAGTTGTCCTTGAGTTGCTAATCTCTTCCTTGGTATTAAAATGACTGCTTATTAATCAGTTTTCATTTATGTGTTTATTAACAGATTCCTAATCATCAGCTATTGATCATAACCAATGCTGGTATTGCACCTTCTGGAACCAAGGGCTAGAGAAAACCCCCAGGATCACTTCTCTTCACCTTCCTTTTTTCTTTGCTTGCATCGTGTGGACGCCTAGAGCATGTGACCTGCCTCAAGAAAATGCAATTTTCAAACACAGACTCAGCACTCAGCATCTAATGAATGAGAAAGCATCTTCCAAGAATATAAGCAATTTGATTTGCTTCTGAACAAGCAGAAGGAGCTCTTGCTTTCCTTTGGAAAGGTGCCCACTCCACTCTACCTTTTTGTGAGGCCATCTCTGAGCAGCAGACTCAGAAGCATTTTTCAGGCATGTCAGAGAAGGGAGGACTCTAGAATTAGCAACCAAACTACCCCTGGAGTAGGTCCTCAGGAGTGGGAGGCAGGGGACAAAGCAGGAGGGACGACGCTTACCCAAGAGATGTTCGTATGAAGAAATATAGAGGAACGGTTACTTGCTCAGTACTCAGTCGATGCTGACCAGTGTTAGTTGATTAACCCACCACCAAGACAGGCACTTGAGTAAGCAGGGAAGGGAGAGAAAGCCTGGCTTCCAGGCTGCCTCCTTGTCCCTGCCCCTCACATGTCACTTGCAGTGGCCATAACAGGGCTCAGACATGTAAGGCAGTGCTGCCTGCCCTTGGATGGCCACGTTGGAATTGTCTATTCCACATGTACCTTGTGCAGATGTAACAGGAAAGTAGGAAAACCTACCATCTCAGTGAGCTCTGGCTGCCTCCACAGAATGGCAGCTGTGCTTTTATTTTTATGGTTAGAAAGGCACAAAATTACTATCAACCTAACTAAAACATTCCTTTCTTCTGCAATTACCACGGAGTCTTCCAATTCTCTTCTGTTTTTCATTTGACAAATGTTTTACCAATATAACATATTTATTTTTTTATCTATTTTGGAGGATGTGTCTGAAGGATTATTCATGGAACAGAAAGAAGTGTAGGACTATCAGTATATCTTTGTTATGAGTCTTCATGACTGTAAGATTGTAAATACAGATTATTTATTAACTCTGTTCTACCTGGAATTAGATTGCATAGGGCAAATGTTTGCGAGCAGGTGGCTGGCATTGAGCAGCAGGTGGAAGCTCAGCTGCTTTTCACTCTGCTAAGAGTAGTTTGGTGCACTCTAACTTGGGTGTTAGGGTATGAAAATCTCCAGCTTGAACTCTTTCTGTTATGCCTTTGTTTTGTACGGTGGAAGCTTGCTCTTTTTTTTTTTTTTTCTTTTTTTTTTTTTTTTTTTTTCTTGCTTTGCCATTTCACATGGAATTGGTTGTGTATTTGCAAGTGTTCCTCCTTGCAAAGGAAGCCACAGCCCTCTAAGGCTCTTCTACCCACCCTGTGCCTATTTCCAGGGAGAAGAAAATCATACACACCTATTTTTTCATTTTCCCAAAAGAGAAAAAAATGACAATAGTGAAACTTACATACAAATATTACCTCATTTGTTGTGTGACTGAGTAAAGAATTTTTAGATCAAGTAGAAAGAGTTTAAGTGTCTAATGAACTTAAAGCTACTGTAGTACCTAAAAAGTCAGTGTTGTACATAGTATAAGAATTCTTTGCAGAAAATTATTCCCAATAAGGAAATAGCATTGATGTGTTAAATACAACTTCTGAAAGTTGTGGGGTTTTTTTTCTATCATCTTGTATAACATTGCTTTATTTTTATAAATTATTTTCTTGTTGCAATTGGAACAGATATCTCTCGGATTGTGTAGATACGCTATTTAAATAATTTATCAGGAAATACTGCCTGTAGACTTAGTAATTCTATTTTTATATGTTTGCACACTGAATTGAAGAAATGTTGGGTTTTTTTGTTTTTATTTGTTTTTAAGGTTGTGTGTATGTGTGTGTGTGTGTGTGTGTGTGTGTGTGTGTTTTGCTTCTACTGCCTAGTTTTTACTATTTGTCAATACCTTTTTTCCTAGGAATGTGCCTTTTTGTACACATTTTTATCCATTTTACATTCTAAAGCAGTGTAACTTGTATATTACTGTTTCTTATGTACAAGGAACAACAATAAATCATATGAAAATTTTTATTTATACTTACTGTATGCATGCTTATTTTGTTCCCTACTGGCTTGATAACATGAGGTGTGGAAAAATTCCATCCTTTAACCAATAGAGCACACACAAAATAAAACAATAAATTACACTTAGAGCCACTATATGATTTATAAACACTAGACTCTGAAGATACAGTTGCTAGATTTGTGGAAGACAGAAAACACAAACAAGTCTACCACCTTAAAAAAAAAAAACATAAATTAGAAATTTGTCCTGAGTCACAAGCCCCAGAAGAACACAATTTTATATTTTATTCATGTGAGGTGTCATGTGCTGAATCCTTCTCAAAGTCCGGTTCCATTTCTAAAGAGAATGAGAAGAACAATGGCCAGGACAGATGTGGAGCACATGTAAGGCTCACAGCTTATTCTTTAGTTCTGAGTGACTGGCACTTGGGTGGGCAGCAAGATCACGGCCACAGAAGCTCATGGAGAGAGAATAGCTGTCCTGGGAACTTAAGCTCTGTGCTTAACATGACACTTGTCCTCTTTTTTTTTTTTTTTTTTTTTTTTTTTTTAAAAAAAAAAAAAAAAAAAAAAAAAGACTAAAGAAATGCAAAATTTGGGACTGGAGAGATGGTTCAGCAGTTCCAAGCACTTACGCTCCTGCAGAAGACCCTAGTTCAGTTCCCAAAACCCATGACAGCAGCTCACAATTGCTGCTTGTAACTCCAGCCCCTGGGGAGCCAATGCCCCCTTCCTGCCTCTCCAGAAGAATACAGTACCTGCTCTCACATGCACAGACCCACACACAAACACAGACATAGAATTAAAACCAAATCTTCGAAAAATACATATTTTGGAAGGAATGTATATGTGTGAAATTGTTTTGTGAAGACCATCCTGTAACAGAATTTGAGTCTTGGATTGGTTAATCATGAATATGAAATACCAATTAATTTCTAGTTTCTAAGAAACCTATCAAAGAAGAAATTCTGTCAGGTGGAAGGCCTAGCTTGCAGGTCTGTGAAAGACTAGAAAGATTGGCCAAGTTCATGGAGACTTCCTCCCTTGTTGACTTCCTTCAGTTGTTTTAAACTCACCTATCTGGATGGCACAATGGCATGCAAATGTAAATTGCCCAATCACTTTACAGACTCAGGGTGAAGCAGTAAGAGCCAGAAGGCCCTGGGGGAAAATGATTGGAAAGCAATAATTATTTGAAATGTGACATCATTCTTTCAGATTATTCAATGTGAACTCCTGGGAGAAAATTCTCATTCATTTTTAGTAAAATTTTGAAGCAGAACTGATGGAGACATAAAACGTGGCCAAGGAACTCTTACTTAGGCCAGGCATGTTCCATTCGCTGAGACTGACCTTCAAGTCAGCATGTTATGCCAGAATAAAGGGCTTGTTAAAAATGAAAATGACATCATCAAGGTGATAGATCTCACCTCTTATAGGAGTTTATTGTCATGTGTTCCGGGACAGTTAGACCGAAGGGCAGTAAACTGGGCTCCTGGAGAATTTACAACTCAGGTGCTGCTGGCTGTTTTCTTAAAGAGTCATAATGTAGGAAAACATACTGTGAGCCTCCAAATTCATTCTGTAAGTGAATTAGCCCTTTCTGTTCTATAATTTTTATTCTTGTTCTGGGAAAAGCACTCCAGCTTAGAAGGAACCTCAAAATAAAGTAAAATATATGTATATTGTATATAAAACAATAGCAAGGCTCATGATGCCCCAAATGCCATTTACAGAAGCGCTCTGTAAGGTCATAGCCCTGTGCAGTGCACACCTAGAAACGGTTTCTCAATTTCTCTTTGTGTTTCTCTCTACCTTTCTCTCTTCTCTCCCCTCTTCTGTGTCTCTGTCTCTGTCTTCCTACCCCTCTTTCATACATCTCAAATACAAAGAAAGCACAGATGTAGAAAGCTTGAACTCTAAAAGGCTGCTAAGGCAATGGGAACACCTCTCCATCCACTCTAGATTCCCACCATGTCACTTCTATCCTCCGACTGTTCCCACTCAAGCCCTTCAACACCAGGAGTGCCACAGATCATCCTGGGAGATTCTAAAATCATGATTTTTAACTTTTGCTGGCATCTCACAGGCAAACACAGGCATCGAAATAAAAGACACTGTAGTATGCTGGCATCAGTGCAAGCTGCTGCTATGTTATGTGGACAAGCAGTGGGCTGGGGTTATAGCTCGGTGGAAGAGTGCTTGCCTAGTATGTGGAAGGCCCTGGGTTCAATTCCCTGTACCTCGAAAACAAAAACAACAGAAATGAACATACAGTAAACTGAAACGGAGTCGGATGAGATAAATTGCCAGTGGATGCCTCTAAAAACAGTAGGTATAGAATTCTTTATTTTAAGAAGTCAAAAAAATCTATAAGCAATAGTTTATGTGATCCAGGGACAGAAAACAAATGTGTGGTAGCAAAAATGAGCAATGTTTCATACACATCACTCCAAATAATTGTATTCATGCATAGCCAGGCAATTTTTGAATTAGAAATATACTAGACTTTCAGTTATAATACCAATCTATCTCATGGACATTGACCAAAAAATTTCCCATAAAACCAGGTTACTGACTTATAACTAGAAAAACTTCTCTTAAAGTTGTACTACAAACTATTTCAATGTGGTTCATCTTTACTTGCTGCATGCTCAAATGCTCAAGCTCCAGAAGAATACAACAAACGGAGAGTGATAAATAATCCACCAAACTCCAACTTAAGGGGAATACCATCACTGCCCAGAGAGTTCAGGCTCTGCTGGCATTGCTTTGCTGAGTAAGTTCATTTATTCCTGTGTCAAGTTGAACTTATTAGGAGAAATTAGACAGGCAAGAAGAAGGAAAAGCAGAGGCAGAGCAAAAACCTATGGTGACCACAATCTATCTGAATGATGATGACGTTGAAACCCATAAAATCAAATAGAGAGGGCTGAAGATAGAGCTCAGCAGTAGAATGCACAAGGCCCCTGGCTCAATATGTGTGTGTGTGTGTGTGTGTGTGTGTGTGTGTGTGTGTGGTGTGTGTATATATATATATATATATATATATATATATATATGAAAGCAATCATCCCACTCCACTAATTTAATACAACATGCAGATGTTACAATGTTGGGTTTTATAATTATCCCTGATATTGTAAGATCAACAATACATTTGTAAACATTTTCCAGGAATTTCACTGAAAAAAAGCCATTGAACATCACACCCTAATTTTCAAAAATATCAGAGAAACGCAATCAGCAAAGATGGGATTCATGTTAAAATCATTATTTGCAGAATAGTCTCTAGGATGCATTCACTGAATACAAAGAATTCAGGGGAAAATGTAATTCCAACTTTCTCAGGAGCAAACCCTAGCAAGTCCTGGTTTGGATTCTTCACACTCTTCCATTCCATCTCCAGACTCCTGTTCATCTGCAGATAAAATAGCCACAGTGATTACACAATCAGAAACATGTACACAATTAAGAAAAATAAGCCAGTCTAGTAAGAATTAACCCTTTTGTCATACACTATAACGATCACATCCCTCTTTAAATATATATATTGAATAGTCACCACAACCTGCAGATAAAGCCCACAAGAAGAATAAGATGTCTACCTTCACTGAGGCTATGGCTCAGAGAACTTTTAGGGTTTTGAGAGGTAAATGATTCTGGATTTAGGGATAGACGTCAAATTTTCCTTTTTGCTTTCTGCTGACTTTCTGGTGAGTAGGTTGAAGCCAAAAGTAAATGTTAAGTGTAATGTTCATGAGAGATAATTGCTGCTTGTCGCTTAAAAGAGAGAAAGAAATCATATCACTAACAGAACACATTGTTCTACCTTCTGTGCAAAGGTTAGCAGAAAGGGAGAATCAAGAATGGAATCAAATGAAAGAAGACAATGAAAAAACAGTATCAAATTGTGGAATGCTAAACAGTGCAGTAGCTCTGCAATACGGCCTTTCAGTTCTTCAAAACGTTACGATAGACCTGGCTATTCCAATCCTAGGTATATGTCCAAGAGAAATGAAAACATATGCCTAACAAAAACTTGCACACAGATATTTATATCAGCATTGTATGTAATGGCTAAGAATTTGAGATGGTCCAAATGTTCATCAACTAATGTATAAATAAAATGGGCCAGTTCATAAAAGGAATGTTCTCAAAAATAAAAAAGAATGGATTACAGATAGGTCCTACAACATGGATAAATCTTGAAAGCACTATACCATGTGTAAAAAGTTACTCACAAAAGAATGTGTATTCTGATTCCACTTTAGAAAATATTCAGAGTAGGCAAATTCATAGAGACACAAAGTAGGGAAACATAGTGATACAGTCACAAAATGGAAAAGAAATATTAAACAGGATGTAGAGGGAGCTAGAACAGACCAGAAATGGACCACAATGTCATACACAAGCCATGAAGAGTAATAAAATTGCACGCTTGTAGGCACAAGTCCCTCTACGCAGGGGTCAAAGGCCCACCCCACGAATGCCCATTCACTCTTGGAGGCTCACCTTAAATGGCACTTCCCATGTCCCAGGCATTCATTATTTCTGTAAAGTCACTCATGTTTTGTCCTGAAGCTGTTATACTTGCCCTTCTTTTTTGAGTGCTTGTCTTCATCAGTAGACTGAGGAGAGCCTCAAAGCAGTGATGGTGACCTACTCATTTTAGTTCCTAGATCAGTGGTCCTCACCTGGGGGAAATTTGGCCCCCATGAAATTTAGCAAAGCGTGGATACATTGACATGGCTCATGGAGAAACAAAAACTAAAAAAGCACAAATAAATTTAAAAATACTTTCTGTTTGCGGGTTAATAATATTAATATTGACCAAATATAGGGGCTCATGCCTCTAATCCCAGAACTCTTGAGGCTCAGGCAGGGGGATTGCCATAATTTCGAGGCCAGTCTGTAATAGTGAGTTTGAGGCCAGTCTGGGCTATAGTGTAAAACCTTGACAGAAAACAAACGAAAGTACTGATATTCTTAAATGTCCACATGACCCAAAGTGATCTAAAGAATCTATGCAATCTGTCAAAATTCCAGAGACATTTTTCAAAACAGTCCCTATATTCTTATGCAACTACGAAACACCTTAAAAAGCCAAAATATCATTGAGGAAAAAGAAAAAAGTTAGAAGTATCACAGTGCCCTAATTTCAAAATATAAAATAATTGCAATTAAAATAGCATTGTACTAGCATAAAAACAGACATATCAGTCAATGGACAGGAAAGAAACTCCAACAGGATAAAAGCAAATGAATTTACTCTCAACTGATTTTTGTGAAAGTAATTAAGAACACACAACAGAAAAGGAGAATTTCTTCAATAAATTGTGTTGGGAAAACTAGATAGCTACATGCAGAAAAATGAAATTTCATTCTGATTTTATACCATCTACAAAATAAACTCAATGAATTAAATATTTAAATATAATTTTTGAAACAATATATTTGTGATGATTAAATATTGATTGCCAGGTTCACAGGATCTAGAATCACCTAGGAAGCAATCCTTTGGGTATGCTTGTGAAACATCATCTAGATTAGGTCATTTGAGGTAGACCCACCTTAACTGTATGTAGGTGGCACCATTTCGGGACTGCCATCCTATACTGAATTAAAAGGAGAGAGCAAGCTGAGCTCCAGCATTTATCCTTCTTTGATCCCTGGCTGTGAATGGAGTGCGACCAGCCACTTCCAGCCCCTGTTGCATGACTTCTGTGCCATGATGGACTGTACCCTGGAACTGTAAACCAAAACTAATCCTTCCTCTCTTAAATTACTTTTGTCAGATATTTTATCAAAGCAACTGAAAGGTAACTAATATAACATTGGTGTGTGCAATGCTTTTATTTTTATTATGACCACAGAAAGCATAGGTAACAAAAGCAGAAACAAATAGGGAAAAGCTTCTGCACAGCAAAGGAAGCAGTGAACAAATGAAGCATAAGAAAATATGTGAAAAGCAAACATCTAATAAGAGGCTAATATCCAAACATATAAGAAGCCCAAGTAGCTCAACAGCAAGGAAAAACCCAATTTATAAAATGGACAATGGACCCAAACAGCTATTTCTCAAAAGAATACATTCAAATGGTCAAGAAAATGAAAAAATGTTCAGCACCACTATGATTAGGGAAATGCAAGTCAAAACAAAATGAGATGTCACTTCTTATAAAACAGCTCTTACTTAAAAAACAAAACTAGTGAGTAATGGTGAGAAGGCAGAGCATGACAGAGACTTGGACACTGTTTAGGGGATATAAACTAGTACATTCATTACAGAAAACTGTTAGAGAGTCCTCAAAAAACTAAAAATAGGACTACTTATATTACCCAGAAATCCTACTTTGGGAGGCTGAGAAGATGACTTAGTCAGCAAAATGCTTACCATGTAAACACCAAAACCCAGGTTTGATTCCCAGCACCTGTATAAAAAGCCAGATGCAGTGGCTCACATTTGCAATCCAGAGTCTGCAGAGATGGAGACAAGCTTGCTGGCCAGCAACGTAGCCTAACTGGCAAGTTCCAGGTCCCAGTGAGTGACCTTGTTTGAAAGAACAAGGTCCTGAGGAATGATGCTCAAGGTTGACCTCTGGCACTTACACACACACACACACACACACACACACACACACACACACACACACACGGGGAGGGGGGAGTCAATATGTCACATGCATAGCTGCACTTCCATGTTCATTGCAGCATTATTTACGGTATTCTGTTCTTTGAAAGGTTATATGATTTTTAAGGAAGAGAAGGTCCATGTGTACAGAAAAAAAATCAAGGCAGTATGTGTAAAGTGATTCAACAAAGAGCTAACATAATCAGAGGAGAAAGAAAATGTTAACAAGGGTGGTAAGAGAGGACTGGAGTTCAATTTCTATTGAAGGAGCACAGTTTTGGTGGTACAATGGTGTGCACAGCTGCCTTCCATTGATGGAACCTTGAACACTTCCTGGAAAAAAAGGCCTAAAAAACAGAGGTGTAGGAAAGCACCAGCAATCCTGAGTCTAAACTAGCTATAATCAGAATCACATTTAGGTGACTAATCAGAAACTAAGAGGAAAACTTTGGGGCAGACTGTGGAGGCCTTAAACAGCAAGTAAAAGAATTTAGAACTCATTCAACATACAGTGTCCAGCCATCAACGCTCATGGGAAATGTGGTTATCAGAGGTATACTCTGAAAAAAGTAGGGGTGGTCAACAGTCGGGGACAGAAAGAAAAGAAGACAGGGTACAAGGGACACTGCCGGAGGGAACAAAGTACTTGAAGATTACAAGTGCAGAGCCAAAAGAGGTTAGAAATGGGAGCAAAGGAAGAAGATGATTCTGTGATAACTCAGATTTTAAGCATAAGTAGTTGAGGAAACAGAAGGAAAGTGTGAGTTGAGAGGGAAAGATGAGGTTGTCAAGTTGTCCAGTAGGCGGATAGAAATATGGCACTGAAGGGGGCTGGAGAGATGGCTCAGGCTCAGTGCTTAAGAGAACTGGCTGCTCTTGCAGAAGACAGGTTTGCACCCCAGCACCCACATGGCGGGTAACAACCATCCATAACTCCAGTTCTAGGGAATCTAACATCCTCTTCTGTCCACCACAGGCACTGCATGACATGGGTACACTTACAAACATACAGGATTATACATACATAAAATAAAAATAAATTTAAATATATATATATTTAAGAAATATGGGACTGAAGGGTTAGTTCAAAACTAATAGATCATAAGCTTTAAAGGTAATAGATTAATCAGTCCAGATTTGATAGGTAGTATGTTTTAGAGTAATCTACATTAGAGGTTAAAGTTTAAGCTGTTTAAATAGGCTTACAAACTATGACATTGAGTTCTGAAATGGATAAGTAATTGAATATTTGTTTATGCTAAAACCGCCCATAGTATCTGAATTCTGTGCCATTGTACTATTGTAAATACAAGACTGGACCACGGAAACATGGCTGAGAACACAGAAGTGGGCTGGGAAGGGAAGTGTGAAGACAGAAACGACCATAGAAGAGTGGTATTTTACAAATTAATTCCCTGAAACAAATTTTTGTCATTAAAGTTTAGAGGCTGAAATGCTAGGCAAGTCTTTTAAAATTATTCATTGCTGTTCAGACTACTTTCCCTTTTCCTCTGGCATCAACATTGTTTTCTAGATGACAGACCTGCCATGAGGAATGATGCATTTCATAAGGGTATTAATCTTGCCTTGATCTAAGAACATTGATGTGTATGTCCTTAGGCTCCCACGCTCTTAATGACAGCATCTGAGGCTCACAATATATAGTCTTGTCTTCCTCTACTTTAATGCACAATATGTGTATATTTAAATGCTTCTAAGAATTATTCACAAAATGCGTGTTCTCTAAGCCTCACCTGCTGTTAGTTTCTCTGGAAGGCTGAGTTCTGGCTGGTGGTCCTCTGAGGAGAGGCTTGCACTGACACCATTCATCGGATCATCCAAGAAAGACGGCCTTTTCAGTCTCCCGATGCCAAGAGTCTTTGCCATAAAATAGCTTGATGTATCATTAAAAGCCTCCTCCTTGGACACCTGGAGGCATTTCACATTCGCCGCTTCAATGCCAGGAGCTTCTGGCACACAGTGCCCAGCCAAGGCTTTGTCAAGATAGCCTTTGGAAACCCCATATTCCTCATTCTCAAGCATGTTTGTATTGTCTAGCTCTATTTTCTGGACCTTGGCTTCAGACTCACTTAGTAATTCACAGTGGATGGGTCTGGAAAGCTGGGGGTACTCAGGTGCTGTATCCTCAATGCCTTTGTTTTCCCTTTCAGAAGAAAGCCCAGTGGTGGATTTTTGTTTGCCTATACATGCATCCAGAAGGCACTGCAACTGTTCCTCAGACAGAAGTGATGTGGAGTCTAACTGAGGAAACAAACCAAAAGTTTTCATAGTCAATTGGCTGAAGAAACATGTTTATTTGAGGTAAGCTTACAGGAATATGCTATGACTCCAGGTGTCAGGAAACCCCTTACCCAACACAGGCAAATAGGAAATAACTCATTCCGAAGTAGCCAAAGCTTCAGGGGAATATTCAGCAGCCCTACACAAGGAGTTTAGAATCTATCATACACACTAATCTGGATGAGGAGTCATATAACACTGATAAAAATGAACTACTGCATCAAATTACCACTAACACTCTCTTAACACACAGATGTAATCAGAGCTGAAAATGAAGATGTTAGAAAAGCATTTTTCAATTTTAAAAGACTTGGGTCACAAGGCAGAGAAGTAGGCTGTCACTTCTTTGATAAACAGCCAGGAATCCTACCATAATTTCCAGTCAATATTCCTCTGTCTCTACCCAGTCCTCAGTGTGAACCATGCCACAACACAATTCTGTAACTGGGGAAAAATTGGGCAGATGACACCTGCCCCCAGGGATTCATCACTTGTGTGTTCCTATCTACAATGCTCAGTGACAACACAACACTGCAGGAGACAGAAAAAGAAAAGTGAAGGAGGGGCCCATCCTGAGACTTGCAGTTGGCAGAGGCCAGTGACATTCCAGGAGCAGTGCATCTTGGGACAAAGATTTGATCATTCATATTCAGTCTCTGCTTATAAAGTTTATTTGGGGCTGAGTGTTTCAAACAACACCTTATGGATTTAAAAGCATTTCCTTCCCTTACAGTCTCACACTGTCACACCTGGTTTACATAGCACTGGTGATACAACCAGGCCTTTATGCATGCTAGGCAAGCTCTCCACCAACTGAGCTATGGAGTAGCTGGTATTACATATATGTGTGAAATTGCCTAAAAACAGATTTGATTAATGAAAAATCAACATATTTTTCTTCCAGTGACATTCTGAGGAAACACAGCAAAGTGAACCAAAGGAAAGGACAAAGGAAAGGAGAAAGCCATGGCCTCCAAGAATTCAGAGAACAGCAACAAATTGCAACAAATTCAAAAAGTTACTAAGATATTGAAACACATTGGAAAAATGCCCTGTTCTAATAAGTCAGCATATTCAAGGAAGTCAAGGAAAATACCAATTAATACTCCTGAGAACAAGAAGACCCCATCAGAAAACTTACTCATTAATTGCAACAGCCGTAATTCTACTTCAACAAAGAAAAATTATGTTCTTGACATACTTCGAAAAGACACACTAAAAATGGCTGGGGATGTAGCTCAGTGATAAGGAGAGTGCCTGTCTAACAAGTCCAAGGCCCTGAACGCAGTCCCTAGTAACACACACATACACACACACACACACACACACACACACACACACGAGTATAAAGTGACTAAACAGTTTGTATACTTGTAAATGTACAGTACTGAATAGGAGCTATCATTAGAACAAATGTATCTAATTCCCTATTTTTGTGGACTGCTTCTAAGGTAGCTAATAAAATAGTGTGCAAAACAAGTTTTTCATCATGTTTTTAAAATATATCCTGTATTTAAGACTATTTTAAGACACACTGGTATTAAAACTCAGTGGCAAGGCAAGTGCCACTGAGAGTTTGATAATAAGAAGAAATTGTCTAGGATTTTTTTTTTTCTTGGTGATATTTGGAATACAAATCAGGCAATTCAACCTGAGGCTAATGTACATGTCAAGAAATAGGAGTCGAATTGTACATTAGCAAATCCTACTTTTAATAAATAATTTTAACAATGCAAACGGGGCACATGGTACAGTTCTCATATTCAGAGCATTTCCTTCACCCTCCTATGTAAGTCCAGTCAACTAGATAATGTAGTCTAGTATAGCAACAGGTGCTGAAAATAGGCCTTTGAATTTTGCTTATATGACATTTCTTACAATAAGAGGATTATTGCCTTGAATTTAGAAAGAAGACACTCTGTCATCTTCACCAAAAACTTATCATTATGAAATTTCCAGACAACATAACAAGTTAGCCCACATTGGAGAAGGAGAATGAAGGATTATGGAAGTCAGGTCTCTAGAGGAACAGGTAGAGAGGAAATGGTGAATAATCAAATATGTTGGCCACTTCCAGAAACAATACTGATAGGATAGAAGCTTGGAAATTCTGATGGTGTTTTCAGCTAGATATCCAGACAGTGAAACAAAGAGACGAGTGAACCAGTTGTAGACCCTGGGAGAAACAAAATGTTCTATAGAAATAGAGGAATGGAAATGGATTAAGCAAAGAAAAAATAATTGTTAACTGTAGGACAAACAAAAAGTTTGAGAAATGAAAAATTGAGGAGAAATTCTCAACCAGCTTCTCTAAAATTACATTTTATAAACAACCAGTATGCAAATAAAAATAAAGAGATGAAGGCGCAGCACAGGGGTAGAACATGTATTTCACATACAAGGGCTCTAGGCTCAGTCTCCACTACCACCAAATCATAAAAACACACAAAAGTAGATGAAAAAGCAAACTTCTCTATTGACATTAGAGTGTATTCTAGGTATAATTATAAAAACAATTTTTTAAGAAAGAGAACTTTTATTTTACTTCTTCACAATACCATGAACTGTTATAAAAATTCTTTGGTTTCAAAACATTATGGCAAAAGTGAATCAAATATAGTAATTACAAAAAAATAAGGTAATTTGATTACAATGTTTCTGAGATGCAGTGTAGATTAGAAAGTTCAATGCGACCTTTTTTCTCATCTTTTGATTCCAGAACACCCTTGTGCACATTAAAAAAAAAAAACAATAAACGACTATGGTGAGAATCAACTACCAGTAGAAACTGTTTACAGATGCTGAACTGGACTAAACTGGGGCTCTATCGTTGTTGTCCCTAGTCACTCTCAATAGGAAGGGACAAGAGGCATAGCCTCATCCAGATGGCTCTTGACGCTTCTGAATCAAGAGTGCTGTGACTGAGCCATTCATTGTGTGAGCAGTCAAGGAGCCATCTGTTCAAACATTTACCTCAAAGAATTCATCTTCCATGCCAGCTCTAATTTCCCAAGCTTTCATAAACAAGTTATTCTTACCATTCCTGTCCACAAAATTTAATGTAGTGCACCGTGGGCTTCATTTTTCTAAATCACAGAGCAGCCTGTTCTCTCTCTTCATGCTCATCTTTTCCGAACATCTCCACTTTAGCAGCCCTTTTATACATCTTTTAATTTATTTTTTAAGCTTTCATACATGAATATATATTGTGTGTTGGGCATATGTGCCCCCATAACTCCCGGCCTGTCCACATCTCATCCTTCCATTGGTCTCCTTTGTCCCCCTAGACTGTATGTGTCTACCTTTATATGTCATATCTATACACATGATCTCATGTATCTATATAAAAACTACACAATCCAGTTGCATCCGTTTTCCTGCAAACAACATCATTTTGTTCTTTATGGATTAAAAAATAAACCCTCCATTGTGTTTATATACGTTTTTCTTACCCATTCCTCTGTTGTTGAACACCTAATCTGCTTCCGTAATTTAGCTATTGTGAATAGTGCTGCAATAAATATTGAAGTGCAAGTATCTCTGTGAAATACTGACTTGAATCCTTTGAGTGAAAACCCAGGAGTAGCACAGCTGAGCCGTAGGCGATATCTAGTTTTAGTCTTTCTGAGACACCTCCATGCTTACCTCCAAAGAGGCCACAATAGTTCGTGTTGCCACCAGCAGTGTATAAAGGTTCCCCTTTGTCCACATCCTCACCAGGGACTTGTTACTTGTTTTCATAATGCCTGCCATTCTTATCTAATGTCATTTTAATTTATATTTCTCTGAAGTTGCATTTCTAGTGAGGTTGAACACTTTTCTCATGTTTATTGGCCATTTGTATTTCATCTTTTGAGAACTGTCTGTTCATTTCATTATCCCATTTATTAGCTGGGTTGTCTGATTTCCTGTTCAGTTTTTGGAGTTCTGAATATTCTGGATATGAGTGCTCTGTCAGATGCATAGCTATGAAGATTTTCTCCCATTCTGCAGGATGCCTCTTCACTCCGCTGTCGTTTCCTTTGCTATACAGAAGCTGTTTGATTTTACAAGGTCCCATTTGTTGATTGTTGGCCTTATTTCCTGAGCAACTAGAGTCCTGGTCAGAAAGTCCTTGCCTATGCTAATGTCTTGTGGTTTTCCTACATTTTCCTCTAACAGTTTCAGAGTTTCAGGTCTTACATTATGGTCTTTGAGTCATTTAGAGTTGAATTTTGAGCTAGGAAAGAGATAGGGATCTGGATTTGTTTTTGTACCTGTGGATATCCAGCCCAGTCTTGTGACTTTAGAGGAAATGTGTTTCCCTATTTTGCATAATGTTGACTATAGGTTTTTCATATGCAGGCTTCATTATTTTGAGATTTGTTCTTTGAGATTTGTTCTATTCCAAGCCTCTTCAGGGGCTTTTATCATGAAGTGACATTGGATTTTGTCAAAACTCATTTCTGCATCTATGGAGATGATCATGTGATGTCTGTTATTTATGTTATTACATTTATTTATTTGCTTATATTGAACCATGACTGCATTTCTAAAATGAAACCAACATTATCATGGTGAATGATACTTTTTCTGTGTTCTTGAATTTGGTTTGCAAGTGTTTTATTAAAAATTTGGGGAGGGTGGGCTGAAGAGATGCCTTGGTGGTTAAGAGGACTGGCTGCTCTTAACAGAGGACCTGGGTTCAGTTGCCAGTACTAACATGACAGCTAACAGCTGTCCAGAGGATCTGATGCCCTCTTCTGGCCTCCATGGAGATTGCATGACATGAGTGCACTTACATGCATGCAGGCAAAACACATACATAAAATAAAAATAACTTTTTAAAAGATAAAAACAGAGTATTTGCATTTGTGTTCATCAGGGAAATTGACCTTCAATTTTTACTGTTGTGTCATCATCTGATTTTGACATCAGGGTGATAACTGGCTTTGTGAAAAAGCACTTAATAGCATTCCTTC